ATCTTCGATATACACTAGGATGAACAACAAGAGTTTTTAGGAGATGTGATCTATGATAAGGATCAAGATGATGGTGAAGATATTTTGGAAGAGGGTGAAGAATATGGAGAGAAGTCAACATGAGAACTGATCAACATCGCGGCCTTTCAAGTAATTTACGGTAGTGGAATCAAAGAAGTCATTGGAAGCATGGTTGATTCAGAATCTGCAAATTGTGGTCCTGATTCCTCAATATACATATCAGGATCCATTTCTTAAGGAATTATTTTTATCACGAATAATCTTTGAGCCAACAAAGAAGAAGGTTGAAGAAGGTGGTTTTGATGCTGAATTCATCTTCACACAATTCGAAACTCGAGGACGAGTTTTCTCCAACCAGGGGACAATAATAGAAATTATATTTATTTTTAATTTCTATTCAATTTTAAAGGATATATATTTTGATTTTAGTTTTAAGATTTATTTTTAAGAATTTTTTGTTTTTTAAGAATTCTAGGTTTTTTTTTTACTTCAAGTGTACTATTCAGAAGTACTATTCATGAGTATTGTTCACGGGTACCTTCACAGGGGTAAAACTATCATTACAAAATTTAAATTTAAGTTAGGATATATAGGTCATTTTAATCATTGTATAGATATGTAATGTCTTCTGAACATTGAATTATAATATATAAGAGGTGTGTGGAGCCTTGAGAAGGTCAATTCCAAGTCACCTTTAGAAATGAAAATGAGAAAAGCTTAGGCTTTTGGAACCCTAGTTTAGGTAAGGAGAAGAAACCCTAGGTCTCTTTGAATTATGCTTGTATTTAGCTTCGTTTCTTGCTAATTTTACTATTCTCTCAAATTCTCTTGCATCAACAACTGTCTTGGCCTACAATCCATCCTTGGGCATCTCTCTAGCCTCAACAAGAGATGACTATCTGTAAACGTTTCTCCAACATTTCATGTGCCTAGGGATAAGGTTTTGGACATGGCCAAGGTCATAGACCACCTAACCCTTGGTCAGTCAACACACACTCCCATTGAGCTGCATAATCCACCATAAATGATATATACAAGCTCTTATAGCCTTTAAAGGCCACAAACCCCAGCAACTATTCCATAATAAATTCCAAAATAATAACAATACAATAATAATCATAAATCATATGAATGTTATAAATACTCAAACGACATTAGGCAATTGAAATATGGATATCCAAAAGAAGGTTTGCATATACTAAGGTCCTAAATGACCCATCCATTACTGATTTGACCTTTGCGGATTTGTGTATCCTATCCCAAGGTTGTTGACAAGCCATGGTTTCATACTAATATCTTTCCCACAAGATGCACAGTGCAAGGAAAGGTATGCAGAATCATTATAGATAGTGGGAGCTGCAAGAACATGGTTTCCCATGAAATGGTAAACAAACTGAAGCTAAAGAAAGACAAGCATCCCCAACCCTAAAAGATACAATGATTCAAACAAGGCAATGTTCCTATTGATTCTTGTTCCTCATTTTTTGTGCATTGGTAATCGGTATAACAACTTAATATTGTGTGAAGTATTTCCATAGTTACCAAGAACAGAATCGACAAGAGCTCCGAGATCGGGAGAGGGAGCGGGGAGCGGGGAGGGAGGTAGGCTCGAAGATCCTGGTCGAGGAAACGAGGTCCGTATATGGTAAGGTAAAGGGATCAAGATCCCTAACTTTTAGGGAGCGCGTTGTATATCTGCACAAGAGTGCATTCTTTACTAAATGGGATCGTGTTATGTCATGATTAGGATCGAGGTTCCCAAAGTTCACTTGTCAACTGTATTACAATTCAGGAGAAAATTCCATTGAACAATATGTTTAACTTTTTCCAAATTCGTAGACCCAGGTATCAATGTAAATAAGAATCATGTCATTGAAATTCTTTTGACATTTTGTTCCCATTGGAGTATGATTTCGCACATGAGTAGTGATAATAAAAATCCAATATGGTAATGTAATACCTGAGTCCTTGTTCACATGTTAACATAGGAATGGAGGGTGATAAAAACAGTTACTTCAGCAAGAATCACTATAAAAATTACTCATGTGATCCATTACAAAAATTGCACATCTGCCTACAAAGCATAGGTCCTCATTTCTAGCACTAGTCAATTGGATTGGATGACTTCTAATAGAATATCAATTGATGATTATATATAAGAATATTGCGATAGATTGTTTCCAAAAAAGAGATGCCTCAATAGCTAAACTCTCCTTTGCAAAACAAGAAAAAAGACATTGTTATATATAATTCCCAATAACTCTCCTCAATCAAAGACTGCTAAGGGCTGAAAGATATACACAAGAGAGACTTCACATTTCCACGCATACATGATATTCCATCACCAAAAATGCAAACCATGAGTGGCTCGATTTGGTTAACCAACATTCAAACGATAGAAGTGTCCTTCAAGAGGTGGACAAGACCTAATGAACTAGCCCCAAGGAGGTTAAGTGTATTGACATTCCTCAATATCGCAATTAACTTTTGTATCTCCTTTCGTCTTATTGCTTCTCTCTCCTTGCTTGTTTTCTGAACTTTCTTTAAAACTAGTCTTAAGTCATGATTCACAAGGTGTGTAAAGTCGAAAATTGTAAAATATGTAAGAAATCATGGCATTCAGAAAGTTTCTAGGTCATAAACAATTGGAGATCCATACTCCATTGTATATGAATGAAAAAATGTGTCAGTCAAACTCGCTCCCAAAGTAGGGAATACTCGATTGCAAGTTGGTGGTTATTCCGTTTACTCAAGGAACCATAATTTTTGGCATAGGGATCTAGACACCATTAGTTGGGATCAAGTTCCCTGATTTTCCAAATCAAGATCCCAAATGTCAAGGAATCACCCCGGAGTCTCAAATAGCGAGATCGAGCGTCCAAAGCGGAAGCAACCCCTTCCTTAGAAGATCCCAATAACTACATGTATTACCAATGGACGTTTGTCACTAGTTGTTACGACGTCTTTGGCAGTACGATTGTATCGTGATTTATAATGGCCGGAACACTACATATTTCTTTACAAAGGATCGTGTAAATGTGAAATTACACCCTTTAAGAGACGACGATAAAGACAGAATTACGGTGGAAAAGAAATCTAAATCGATTGAAGATTCAATCGTTGTGTAAGCAATTCAGTCCACACATTGTTTATGGTTGAATTGTGTGAAAGTAGTGAAAATTAGGTTATGTTCACCTTAGTAATGAACAATAATGGCAATGTTGAGGTGGGGAATGAGGTAGTTAAGCCACTTTTGCTTGAATTCAAGGATTTGATGCTTGAAGAATTACCCAGTGGGTTACCTCCCATAAGAGATCTTTAACACTGCATAGACTTGGTTCTGGGAGCTAGTTTACCAAATCATGATGAGCTACAAAGGCGAGTTCCAAATCTATTGACAGGAGGACGACCACAACAGTGGGATTTGTTATTATCTCAAGCTGAGTTCACGTATATAGAACCACAGGACGATCACCTCTTGAAGTAGTTTATGGCAGGAATCCAAAGCAGGTATTGGATCTGATGAGTGTGCCTGAAATGGTGCAAATCAGCAATGATGCAGATGCTTGGGCGGAACACATTCGAGATATCTAGTGGGAGGCAACAAAAAAACTTAAAGAGGAACAGAGCGTGCTACAAAGTGGGTGCTGATTGACATAGGTACCAAAAAGAGTTTAATGAGGGTGATTTAATTATGGTCTACTTATGGAAGTAGAGATCTCCTCAAGGACAGTACCATAAGCTGAGGTTTAGGTGTAGTGGGCCTTGTCATGTTCTAAAGAGATTGGGAGTGAGTGCGCATAAGGTGGAGCTTCCAGCAGGTTATAATATTTCGTTAATATTCAATATTACTGATTCATATGATTGTCATGGTGAGAATGATGAAAAGATGGAGAATAATTGGCAGGACCAGTTGCGACAATTCGAGGCCCAGGTGATTGATTTTGTGCTTGATACAGGACTATTACCACAAGTTGTTTATCATATACACAATATATTGTGCTTTAGAAAGATAAATCTAACACAGAAGATTCATGGATCTCAGAGATGGGAGTTCCAAGGGTAGATTCTAACAGATGGAAACAATATATTGACCAGAAATCGAGGGTGAGTTATAACGAGGGGTAGATGTAGTCCTGTTGATGACATCTCCAGCATGTGATTTTTATTTTGTCTATTTTTTATTATTCGTGAGATATTATTCACAACCACTATTCATGGATATTGTTCACAGGGTATTGTTCATAGTTACTGTTCATAAGGATATTTTTGGAACTTTTAATAGTGTTCAGGGGTGGTGTTGAGTCTTTCAGAATTGGTTGGAATTTATTAATTATTAGGGGTAGTTTGGTGTTGTACTATAATTTAGGGTTTAGAAAAGCGGTTATAAAACTTTTTAAAGAGGTTAGAGTAGTTTTGTTGATTTTACCATTGTCGAGATACTTCTATATCGAAGCCTCTAGAGTTCCACTTCTATTGAATCTATAGAATTTTCAGCCCCATTTTCTCATTAATCATGTCCATCAACACTCTGTGCTCCATCACAAACACATTCTTCTAGGGATCCTTGATAAAATAAAGGTGTGTTGAGCATGGCTAAAAGCTTTCAGAGAACTTTGATGTCCAATATCTTTAATATAATGTAAACGATCCTTAATTATAGGACTCTTTATAGCATAATTTGAAGGTCATACAGCCATGCATCAGCAACCTAGTAGAAACTTCCACAGCATTATTCCATGGTGAAATACCCTGAATCACGCATACAGGTATGTGAAGAGCAGGAATTATTTCAAGGAAATTAATTATCAACTTATCATATCCATGGAACTTTATCACAAGAGTTCAGGTTTTACATATTTAAGAAATAAGTTTAAACTAATTGATTAATAGTGGCATTACCTCAAGATTCTACAACCTATGGGTTACAATTATTCCGACCATCATTGACAGAAAAAGCTTACAAGGAATGGTCATACCTTTGAATGCATTTTATGATGGCATCCAGGGTCCAATATAATTGCATCCCCCTGAGCAACAAAATGTGGATCCATAATGTCAGATTCAATAGTGTCAGGTGCTATGACAACCAAGTTCGTTGTACTGAAAGGCTTCTGTGTCCTGCTTTCCATGGGTACCACTACAACTCCTGAAGGATATTCCTGGAGCAAAAAAAAAATAAAAAATCATAATTGTGGTTCATCAGAGACTTTGTATAGCATAAGGAGATGAAAGTAGCTGCAGTACAGACATCTAACTTTTGGACAAGGATGGTGAAAATAAATCAGGAATGCATGCGACAAGAACTGAATTCAGTAAATATAACATAATACTTGCTTATTGAATGGACAACAAAACAATAAAAAGACAGCGTGATTACTACAGAAAATAACATAACCTTGATATTCTAGAGAAATAAGATTCAACAACTCAATAGATTTTGTAAGACTTAAAGATGGATATAGCTCTCAAAATGTATCAGTATCAGCAAGCATTTATATAGAAGGCATCACAATAATCTGATATGGTTAATTGTTTAACCCAAGTTCAGAGTTTAAGTAACATGCCAGTTGATACCACTAAGATGCCAAAAACAAGAATATCACAGTATTCAAAAGCACCAGGCAGCAAGGATGACTTGGAGTCAATGGGGCCTAAAGGCACCAGGCAAGCACCTGATTTTCCAGGAGGATGTAATTTATCACACAAAAAAAAACATGAATTGATTATTTTTGTGTAGGGCACGACATATTCATCAATAAACCATATTATCAGTTTTATTTTTCTATAACGATTACATTAATTGAAGCTTATAGTCAGTAGCAGTCCTTCTTCCATAAAATAACGCTAGAAAGTTATGCTTTGCCTCATGAGTTAAAGAGTTAAAAGGAATATACCTATTAATTGATAGAGTATTACCCAATTCACATGTGTGCACTTTGTAAATTACGAATACAAGATGTGCAGTATCATTCTTTTCTTGAAAAATGTGCCTACTAAAAAGTTATAAACAATAAATAACAAACAAACAAAAACAATGCCAAATTGACAATGCACATAAAATAAACACAAAAGGTTTCCTTCACCATTTATACTCAACACGTAAACCTAAAATATGAAAACTCTAAAGCTAAAAATAGCAACTTTAAGGCCTCATCTGCAACAGGGTCAACTCCTGCCTGTAAAACAATTAGTGGAGCCCAGCCAGCATTGTAAATAGTAGAATATAAAAACAAAAAACTCATGAGGTTATTTCTTTTCTCTTGAAAAACATGGGCTGGGAGTGGAGTTTACAATACCCATTCTTGTAAAAGTAGCTAGCAAACAGTAGTCCATTGATCACCAACACATTCTCTTTGAAAAGTATCTATCATCCACACATTCTTAACCATTCTGAATAACAATGGCACAAAAACCCCTTCCAAAATGAGTCTTAACAATTAATACACTATAGCATGGTAAACATTATAACCACTTACAATATGGTTTTGGCTCACTTTCCTGAAGTAGGGGAAGAACTCAACTTCAAATTTGAACCTTTTTGGAACCAGAAAAGGAGGGTCTTAATAATTTTTGGATGGATATAAACCTCAAGAGAGCATTTCGTTTCACTAAAATGGAGAGCTTAGCGAGCATTCCCCATAGCCATAGATATTTTTTATCCATGGGTACACAATACCTAGCTGGGATCCAAACTTGTAGGTAGGCCTATGTGGGCACCTGGGTTCTTTGCCTCAGGTGTACCAATCTCAGCCATAGTTTACCTGAAATAACACCCAAGGGAGGCCCACACTCCTGCGTGGAGGCTTTTAACAACTTAGATCAAGAGCAAAGATCAAATTTAGAAACTGCTCCCTTAAGCCACAAATAGGAATGTCTGCAACATAGTTGTTAGGTACGGGGAACGGGAATGGTTCCAGGATCGGGGGTGGGATCGGCAGAGCGAAGCTATACTGAAGATCCCTATGCTTGGGATCGATGCTCGTACAGCCTCAAAGGTCAGGATCAAGGCCCATGTGTATTGGGAATCGAGCTCCTTTATTACATAGGATCAAGAATCATTATATAAAGGTGTGAGATCCTATACGCAAGAAGCGAAGTTCCCAAAGGCATTTTTTTCAGTTTCTTAACTCAAGAAGCGCATTAGTAAAAGTGATCCAACATATTATGGAGTGAGGAATAACTTTTATTGGGGCGAGTTCCATTTTCTTAGAACACAAGTTCCACATGTGGGTAATAAGGATCCGTGGCTTTAAAATGTAGCTCCCAGCATTGCTAACCAATAACAAGTTGGCTTAGTCGTCTATGAAATAAATAAGGAACTTTAAAGTGATCCCATATTGGTGGGATCTGGATGCCAAATATGGCGATGCTTGTGTTCCATTATTTGGAATCTAGATTGCAATACGCTTTGGAGCGTGAACCATAAAACTAGGGAACTAGGTCCTGTAATGCTTAGGAACGCGAAATTAAATTATAAGGAACTAATTCCCTTATAAGATGCAGCGAGATCCTGAAAACACTACATTGAGTTTCAGAAGAGATCCGCTCCGGATCGAGAGAATCGAGGTTTTGCAAGGGAATGCCAAGCAAGGAAGGCGATCCCGGTAACCATGGTCTGCAACTCCCCACTGAGAAAGTTGGGTATGGCGATCTTTGTTTCTTCCGAGTTAGAGACAGCAGTATGTATATACTATATACTTGAGACTGTTCCTTCATTTATATAATTTCAGTGATTATTGTGCAAGAGCATCATGACCATCGTAAAATGAAAGGCACTGGTATCATTTCTTGATTGTTGATAGAAAATCAATAACGATAAAGAGAACTTCCTTCACTCATCTCTTTCCAGAAAAACAAAAAGTGATTAAGAACCAACAATATTTTCCTCTCCTGCTTGAGAATCTACAGATATCAATGCTCAAATTAGCAATGACTAGCGATCTTTTCTTATTCGATGATTGCTACAAACTGCACAACATCATCATCATCGTCATCGGAACCTTATCCCAACTAAAGACTGCATAACATGATGTCAATATATGTGTAGTCTATCATTCATTTGAATATGCAAATAAGCGAGACCTTCCATCAAAGATAAATTAGCATATGCAGTCAATGTAAGTGTCAACATTCTTCATCAGTTCTATGCTTGCAAAGGAAACTCCTTGAAGCCACATTTCCACTAGAAGAACATCAAATATCAACTTTCAGAACAAATTGCCCAACCTGAAATTGCAACATAGGAGGAAGAGTAAATTTTGTAGATAGCGCCAACTCAGCGGAGAGCCCATCAGCTACCAAAGGTCCCACACGAATGTACCTTGGCTTCACATTGGCCAGTAAGCTTTTGACATTCGGGATGCTCATCCATTGAGATCTCTCTATGATTCATTTTCAAACATGAAAACTTGATAAGAATAAATCAAGGTATCAACAAAAGAAGCACGTGCAATTTTTAAGATTACGCATGAATCATCACTCAATTTTCATGAACTCGGAAAATATTTCTTAAGATTGTCCTAGTAAATATTAAATTGTTTCATTCATGAAACTCTGTACAGTGTTTTATTATAAAGATCATAAGCACAAAATGGCAAAATATTCACCATAAGAAATATGTTAGCATCCCAATAAATGCAAGATCCACCCAAGCCCATTCCATTTCATAAAATTGGCACATCGTTTGAGGGAAACAGGATTCGAACAAGATTGGAAAAACATTGGCACATGGTGTAAACATGATTCAAATGAGATCAGAGAAGACACCCATAGATATTGTGCGATGCAAAAGAAAATGACCCAATTGCAGTTTAGGCAGCCCAAAAAAAAGACAAAAGAAACTCCAAGCAATATGGGAAAAGTTAAACATATAAAGAATACAATATTGAATAATAATGCCCCTCAATGAAATAAGAACGAATCATAGTGCCCCTCAATGCAACAAAACACATATCTAACCTGGGAGATCAGCAACCTCATACTTCAACCTTCCTAAAATAAACACCGTATGTATATGCAGAACTGGTCCAAAATCAGGTTCAGCTGAATATTTCAAAAACACCCATTCAAAACTAATTGATTTGTCAAAGCCCACTTGCAGTACCACCTACCAGGTCAGCAAAAGTTGCTTGTAAATACTGTAGACTTTCAAGGATATCATGAACACTAAAGATTGTAGACCTACTCAGAATATATGCAACTCTAAATAAAACAAAGAGGAACAGTCTAAAAACTATAAGAAACTTATGCACAAAGAAGAGAATCCAGCAATTGTGACCATGCTTACTTTATTGGCACAAACAAATGAGAATAAATAAATAAATATCATAAAAGACTAGCTATTGTTGCAGGTGAAATTAAAGTAAAGAAGAAACAGTTCGTTAGGATCTAGAGAGAGAGGAACGAAAACAAAAATGATGATAACGAAGAAGAGAGAGAAAGAGAGACATGAGAGAGACAGAGAGGTAGACAGGGAAAGAGAGTGGCGTAGCGGTCACTTATAACATTTAAGTAACAACCCTAATTACAACTTATGGACAATATTTACCTCATATAGAGACATAAGACAAATAAGAACTAAACAAAAGATACATGACAGTTCTACCCATCAAATACAATTACTTATTCCTTTTATTTGCAACACTCCCCCTCAAGCTGGAGCATAGATATCAATCATGCCCAGCTTGATTGTGATATCATGTAATATGTCCCGTCCAACGGCTTTTATGAATATATCTACAAGTTGGACTTCACATGAAGAGTTCGAATGATTTTGGCAGCAACCTTCTCTTTGATAAATTGACAATATACTTCAATGGGTTTAGTCCTTTCATCAAAAATAGGACTCTCTGTGATATGAATGGCTGCTCCATCGTCACAATATAGAGTCATGAGAAGCTTAGCTCTAACACCCAAATCAAAATGAACACCTTTGACCCACATTACTTCACATGTATTTTGAGTCATTGCACAGTATTTTGCTTCAGCACTTGATCTTGCCACTACATTTTGCTTCTTGCTTTTCCAAGCAACCAGGTTTCCCAAAATGAATGTACAATAACCAGTTGTGGATCTTCTATCAGTTTAGCAACTAGCCCAATCAGCATCTATGTAAACTGCAACATCAGGATGTCCTTGATTTAAGAAAAATATCCCTTTCTTTAGTGCAGACTTGAGATATCTTAATATTTTATACACAACATCGAGGGGGGGGGTAGTTTATTGAGTGCTCAAGATGAGAGGAAGTTACAGTCCTCCACGCCGAAGCTACAGTCCCCCTCCTCGACGAGGCTACAGTCAACACAGGAAATATCGTCCAAGACGTAATCCTTCCCAGCACAGACGTCGTCATCACCAGAGGGACTCTAGCCATTACTCCCCCAGCTACCACAGAGACACCAGATATTCAAGGCCCACCTACCAGACCTTCAAGGAGCATCCAGCTTACCTCTCAAGAGTTACCAACCACCAAGACCCAAGTTTCACCAGCCTTCAAGAGCAGACTCCTGCCATCAACTACCACCACAGAGATTACTCTAATCACAGGCATCCTCAAAATCCTTATAGCCTCCAACAAACAAGGCAGACCAATCAGCATCATCAGTTTCAGCCCCCACCCTCCAACAGACACCACTGCTATACTCACATATCCTCTTCAAATAGACATATACCTCGCAAGAACCCCAAGATCAGAAATTTTAGACATGCCCAATCCCAATCCAGTCCAGTATACAACAGTAGCTTTCAACCCAACCACCCCTATGCACATCAAGTTAGACCCCATCTCCCTCCGCCCCCTTCCCATACACCTACTCCCCCCATTCTAGCAGAAACTACTAAGGGACAGCCCCCATATCCAAATTAGGTAACAGCTCCCCCTCATACCACCTCCTTAACCTTTTCAACACCTCCTACACATAACCTGATCCCATCTTTTCCAGGAAAAGAGCATCCATACCATTGAATATCCCAAAACTTTACCCAGCCAGTTGCTTCAAACCCTGAAAACAATTTTCAGCAACCTCTGCAAGCTCAAAATACTGCAAAGAATTCCACCGAACATCATATTTCGGTCCATAACCTTGAGCCCCACATTTGGCTCTCTTCTAACCGTGAGATTTCAGAGCAGATTTCTTCTCTAGAAAATTCTCTTGTAGGCACCTTCCTACCTCAGCGCAATGACATCAAAGGGATTAACTTGTGGCTGCAAAACGTCTTCAATAACCATCATGTTGTTTGCAGGCTTCTCTCAAATGGTACGTATCTCATCTCCTTTCCAGACAAATTCAATCCGGTTATCCTTCCCAATTCCACCTTTAGTTTTAAAGGTGGGAAACTATCCCTACAAAAATGGAATCCGTCTTTGGAAGCCGAACATATCAGTAAATTCTCGATTACATTAGAAGGAATCCACCTCCACCTTTGGACCAACAAGATTTTTTAAATCTTGGGAAACAACTGTAGCCAATTTTTATATGTCCATTGGAAGTCCATGGGATTTCTTCCCTTGGGACAATTTGTTATCTTAATTTCCACAGGATCAGAAGACCTAATCCCCAGTTCCTTGTGTTTGCACTTTAATGGTCTTTCATACAAAATTTCAGTTTCTGTCCAGGCCAGGATCGCCATGAACGCCCCCAGCCAGACCATGATGCTAGGACCGTGGTCTAGCAAAACACTCACGTGCCCTCTCAAGCTCTGAGGCCCTCTAGGGACCACAATAGCAAACTATCTCCAAATTATGCTTCAGGATCCAGGCCTACCAAAACCGCTCACTCCATGGACCATAATCCCCACCCATCCAACGGTTATAATAGTATCCACCCTTTGCCCCGAGATCCCCACCTTAAACCAGTCAAAGGTAAGGACCCCTCATCGAACATTCTCGAAATTGCCAGTCCTCTGAGGTCCCATCCACATCATCCAGCCGCCCACCTCGTCAAAAGTACTCCCATGAGTACTTTGACATCTGTCTACCCAGAACTTAGTTGCACCACATGTCGCACAACCCCCCTTGTTAGCCACGCCACCATGCATAGTGTTTGTCACTCCCTTTAAAGCCCCCTCGGTGACTGTGTCCTCCAATGCTTCCCATCCCCCACACATTAATGGCTCCAGTCCTCCACCCCACCGACATTATCAGTCCTTGCCATTCACCGTCTCTGGCATTCCCAGTTCCCAATAACCTCTAGGTGTCAGCTCTGACGCCTCGTCTCTCTCTTCCCCACCATAATCACCTGCCTACAAGCAACCCCCAGGCACCTCTCTCCATTAACTCCCCCCCATCCCTAGAAAACTTTGATAGTCCCTCCACTCATACCAATACACCTCCCGCTATAGTCTCTCCCAATCACTTGCTTCTCCCTCCTCCCCTCTGTCTTCACCTAACGTCTATTCAGTTCCAAACCATCCTCAAAGCACCACAAATAAATATGAAGTTCAAAACGGCCCCAAACCTAACCAAATCAATTCAGCACTGGTTCCCTTTGCATATACGCCTCTACCCCAATCCCCCAACTCTCCATTCTTCAACCCACCACCATTGTCCATTGTTCCCCCTTCACAATCCTCCATTAAAGATCTCCACTGCTACAACCCTTCTTCAAATATGCCCGCAGACAGAAGCAAAAACCTGCCTCTCCGGGATGGCTCCATCTTCAGGCGACCACCACTCCAACAACCTTCACCCCCACTCAACCTCCTCCTACATACACCTTCTCCCCCCCCCCCCCCCACCTCTAACCCCAACAATTCCCCTATGCAATGCTCAGGGTTCCCACCCCCACACTCAGACGCAAACACTGCCTCTCCCGTTTTCGTTTTCTCAAAGCCAACTCCAACGAAACCCTCATCTTTTAGCATACTCGACTCTACCCTCCCAAATCCACCCGGAACTAGTATACAAAACACCGAGACCTAGACAAGCTAGTGCCCATGCCTTTAGAAATGCAGCTTGCCCTCAATGCAGCCCAACAAACAGGAGGTCGACTTTCACCTTGCATCCCATCCCCCCCCCCCCCTTAATTACTTCTTCCCCACACCACCATCCTCACCTTCCCCTCATCTGCCGCCTGAACACTCCCTTATCCATGACCCCTACCTTCCTAATTCTTTCTACTCCCAGAATCCACCTGACCCCCTCAACTCTTACTAAGGGTCAGATTTCAACTCGGACATTCAATCCCCAGCTTCAACTGATTCGTTGGAGCTTGAAACAATTGAAAGAGGTGAACCTCTCTTGGCTGATACCATCTCAGAAGCTGGACTTATCTTCCATGGAGAAGTTGATGGTCTTACCAACAAACTAAGGGCTAATGCAAGTGACCCACAGGTACTTTCCTCATCCCGAAGTAGTAGGAGCTTTAGGGAGCTTGGAAAGCTCCGCTCTGGGGTTAACTATGACACCCCAAGGAATTCACCCGAGTTGTCTTCCTCAGTCTCTCTTCTCTCTGCTAGCCCCATTAAAAGGAAAATCTCTAGGAAATCCTCCCATCACCTAAATTCTCCTCGATGAAGGTTCTATGTTGGAACATCAAAGATCTTGGCAGCCTCGATAAAAGAAATGTTGTCCATTCATTAGTCTGTTCGGTTAACCGGACCATTTTAGCCCTTTTTGAGACTAAGCTCCCATCCCCGGATTTGTCTTTGATTAGGTCTACTTGGGGTCAAAACCCCTGTGCTTGGGAGGCCAAAGATTCACAGGGGGCCTCGGAGGGTATCTGAGTTATCTGAAATCCCGGTATCCTCTGAGGTATCTCGGCACAAATTCTCGAGTTTTTGGTATCTTTGTCCTTTACCCACTTAGCAGATAACTTCCCTTTTTCTACTTCCTTCGTCTATGGCCCAAACAACCCAACCCTTAGACCAAATCTCTGGCTTGAACTCTCCTCTTTGTCCCCCTCCCCCCGCCCCACCTAATATCCCCTAGCTTTTGGCTGACGACTTCAATACAGTGAGATGGCCACATGAAAAATCCAATGGGGGAATATTAATGCTTCGATGAGAACTTTCTCAGACTTCATAGAAAGTATACCCTTTATCGATATACCCTTGTTAGGAACATCCTTCACTTGGTATAACCACGCACCTCTTCCAATTATGTCAAAA